TATATATATATAGGATCTTCGAATTTGACTTTCCGCAAAAGCTAAGCTTTTCCAAGGAGCTTTGCTATAGCGAGTGCGTGCCAAAGGGAGATGATGATGAAGTGAATGCTCTCGAAAACGAGGACCAAAACGTCAAGTATCATTATACCATTTTTACTCCCTTGAATTCTCGAGATGCAATTAGAGGTCTGACAGACATCAACGCCGAGAAAAAAGAAACGAACTTTTTGGTTAGAGGAGGAAATGGCAGAGAAAGGGAACGAGAGATAAATATACATATAGATATACAGGATGTCCCATACGAAATCATACATCAAATTATTTTTCAAAATTATTTACTATTTTTTTTTTTTATATATTACAAAGAAAATTTCATTCTATTTCGAGATTGGTAAATTTGAAATGATGATAAACGAATAATTAAGCGTAAAACTTTATATGAGACATCCTGTATAAATGTAAAATTACATCTATATATATATATATATATATACATAAAAAGAAATGGAAACAAGAAGAGAGGAAAAAGACAGAGAAGGAAGAGTCCATTCGCTTTTGTCGACCATATAGCTTTTCCGATTTTGTACGCAGTCGAGCTGTCTCTCGTGCCGTTATGCATTATTCATGTTGGTCCACTTGCACGCGTACCAGTTTCCGGGTCCGCTTTTCTTCCTTTGCTCTCAGTTTCCGGTGCTTATCACATCATGGTGCATTAATACTGCGTGTACAGCATGCATGGTGATCCTGCCCGATACGTTCGTTATTTTCTACTCTGCGTTTCCATTATTTTCTATTTTCTTTTTTTCTTTTTTTTCACTTCAATCGAACGTTATTATAATCGTAAAAAATAGAACATAGCATAAATGTTAATATTATAAAATTAAATTTCTCTTTGTATTATTTTTATTTACTTATTTATAGTGCAGAATATAAGCACGGCACACATATACACATACATATATATATATATATATATCATCTCGGTTAGATAATAGCCTCTTATTTCACATTATTTCTCTCATGCGGGAATACTGTTGTTGAATCTAATCGCAATTCATTAGACCGTAGCCGCAAGTAGGTGGTTATGAACGTAATTCTATATAAAAGCCTCACAACAGAAGGGGCACATCAAACGCAGTCATATATATACATATACTATACGTGCTTTTCAGAAATGTTTAGTTAACATTCAGAGATCATGATAGACGATGATTTTCAATGAGAAATAGGAACATGGGAAGAGGGGAGACTGCTTTACGAGTTCAAATGGATTTATACAGTTATTTCCTGTTTTTTGATTCTCAATTTTGCGTATATTTATACAGGTGTACCCTCTTTATAGTACGAGAGAACATATCAGTATGTGGAACGCGATTATTTATAAATACATCCTGCTCTTTTTAATGTGCTCAATTTATTAACATTTGTTGATTTTTACTTGAGAATCAATTTATCGTCTAAACTTTTTCCTTTCTTATTATTTGTTTGTAATCATTTTATTATATCTTGCAATCACGTTGCATCGTGGTAATGACCATGAAACTATTTTTTTTTCTTTCTTTCTTTCATTCTACTTTACGATGAAGTTTATAGTAGATATTGAGAGTATCAAGCTCGGAAATAAACTTAGGTTGAAAGATTTATCATCGTTTGAATTGACTAAACGAGTTAGAAAGGAAGGAAGGATAAGTTCGAAAGGTTTTCCGATGAAAAATGTACAAACGGATATCTCAAAGATTTCGATAAAAAAAAAATCTGATGCGTTATCAAATGTTTCATGGTGTTGTAATAAACGAAAGGATTGATCCCATTATAATAAGTAACAGTTGACAATTTTTCTCTAGTTATCAGCTTCGTTAAATTTTTTTTTATGAAGGTTCGATCGATCGGATTCAATCGTATGGGAAAATGTGATTTAATTCTTCGTAGTGACTCGTTTAATCGAAAACAATGGTAAACGATTACCACTTGATCGATTTTTTGTACCAGTTCGTTGGAAAATCGGCTAGTCAGAAATGCAATATATTCGAGTATCGATTTTTTTTTTTTTAATTTATATTTTCACCATCTATTCCTTCCTTCCTTCCTTCATCTATCTTTATCTTTGTTTCACGCATGCTGAAACCTTCTCTTTATCTTTTTTTTAGATATTGTCTCCGTTATCTTTTTCCTTTATCTTTTCTTTTTATTTTTATTTTTCTGTTAAAAAGTACTGAAATACGAGGAAAAGAGAGAGAAACTAGCGACAGGTAACGCATCGTAGATTTTGTTGAAAACGATTATGGGAACGAGCTCTTTCAGTGTATTTCCAAGCTTTTGATCGTTCCTTTTGTTCATCATTCCTTGTATGCCAATTCAGAAAGATGAATCACTTTTTAGACTATCACACGTTGCATTTATATAAAATATATATATACGATATATACGGTGAATCATTTATGTTAATATTTCCAAACAAATTCTTCATTATTTATTACGATTAATGAAACTTATTAATGAATTTATACAAGCAAATAATAGAGAAATTCATTCTCGTTTGAAATCATTACATTCATGAATTATGATAACAAATTTTGTAATTAAAATTTTTCTCGTAATCGCCATTCTGATTTTTTTTTCTTTTTGGGGGGTAAAATGCAATGAGCCTTTTTCTTGGGAAGATTAAAAAAAGATCCGCTAGGAGGGGCAGCATCAGTGAGGGGTACATATGTGAATTTTACACCATCCTGCTTGTACCGACTATCAGACGTACAATTAGCGAATACACAATGTTTTGTAGGCATGATAATTTTTATTTTAATTTTTTTGATCAAAATATTTATTTATTCTAGTAGTTTATCTATTCTAGTAATAAGACGTACGTTTAACGTTGTTGTCAATAGAGAATTCAAAACATATGTACCCCCCACTAGTGCTGCCCCTTCTAGTGGATCTTTTTTTAATCTTCCCAGGAAAAAGGCTCATTAGTGAGCTGAACGCTGAATCGTTAATTAATTTTTTTTTCTTCTAAAAGATAAAAATTTAAATCGTTTTTACGCTCGACGTATGTTTGTTAAAATAGTTTAAGAATTTTTTGATATAAAAATAATAATATTATATTAATATTTTTCTTAAAATGGGATTATAACATTTGAAAAGTACAATGCGCGAAAACGTATTAATTATTTTATTATTGTTAGTTAATAAATTGAATAATATGAAGTAATAGAGTATAGCCAAGTATATTCGAGTATAGGTGACTATAATAAAGTATAGTTGAGTATTGTCAAGTATAATAGAGTATAGTCGAGTATAGTCGAGTATCGTCGATTATAATAGAGTATAGTCGAGTATATTAGAGTAGAGTTGAGGAAAGTCGAGTATAATAGAGTATAGTCTAGTATAATAGAGTACATTTAAATATAGTCGAATTTAATAAAGTATAGTCGATTATAATCGAGTTTAATGGAGTATAGTCGAGTATAGTTGCGAATAATAGAGTATAGTCGAGTATTGTCGAGTATAATAGAGTATAGTCGAGTATAGTCGAGTATCGTCGATTATAATAGAGTATAGTCGAGTATATTAGAGTATAGTTGAGGAAAGTCGAGTATAATATAGTTTAGTCTAGTATAATAGAGTATATTTCAGTATAGTCGAGTATAATGGAGTATAGTCGAGTATAGTCAAGTATAATTGTATAATTGTAGTCTAATATAAAGATAGTGTAATTGAAAAATGCGGTTTACCAAGAAGCACCTACTACACCAGAAATAATGGATGAAAGAAT